TTTACCTCTTCTGCTGCTGCCCCGTATTGCACAGTTTATGTTCTAGGCCAGTGATGGCGAACCTATGACACGCGAACTCATTTTTTTGGTTGATTTTTCTTTGTTAAATGGCATTTAAATATATAAAATAAACAAAAGTATAAATCTTTGTTTTACTATGGTTGCAAATATCAAAAAATTTCTATATGTGACACGGCACCAGAGTTAAGTTAGGGTTTTTCAAAATGCTGACACGCCGAGCTCAAAAGGTTTGCCATCACTGTAATCTAGGCACGTCGACCTACCTGCCAGTCCCCAGATGTGCTGTGAGCTCATTTGCTCTTCACCTCTGCATATGCTCTTTCTTTTCCCTGGCATGCCCTTACTCCCTCCCCTTCTCTACCCCATCTCCCCCATGCCCTGTGGAATTTTAGTTCAAGGCCTAGATCAATGTCATCTCCCCTGGGAAGTCTTCTTCAGTTTTGTTGTGCCTTTCCCTGAGCACCTCTACAATTGGTTTCTGCATATTATATATACTATTTAACACTTAGTTGAACATGAGACTACTGTTTTAAGACCTACTTGAGTGCAAAGTCTGATTCTATCTTATTATTTTTAAATTATAGTTGACATACCATATTAGTATCAGCTGTACATATAATGATGAGACAATTATATACCTTATGAGTGAACAGGATAAGTCACGTACCTATCTGACACCATACATAGTTATTACAATATTATTCACTATGTTCCCTATGCTGTACTTTGTATCCCATCTATCTTATTTTTTTAAAGATTTTTTTATTGATCTTTAGAGAAAGATGAAGAGAGGACGGGGAGAGAGAGAGAAACATTGATGTAAGAGCGAGACATCAACCAGCTGCCTCCTGCACACCCCCTACCAGGGGTTGAGCCTGAAACCTGGGCATGTGCCCTGACCGGAAATCAAACCCAAAATGTTTCAGTGCATAGGACGATGCCCAACCAACTGAGCCACATCGGCCAGGGCTATCTTATTATTTTTGTTGTTCTCATAGAAGACATTCAATGTAGGTGTGTTGAATGAATGTTGGGTACACAGGCAACACATAATTAATGGTTTGAGTAGTTACTTGCTGCCTCCCCAGTGGAACCCAGCAGTGGGCAGGCAGGCAAAGAGGAGGAGGAGAACACGAAGAGCAGCTTCGTTAATGAGCACGAGCAAAGGTGCCACCTCACACCCACCCGACTCCCTGACTGAGAGGATGAACCATAGGCTTTTATTTCCCATGACTCTCTCTTTCTTTGATGGCATACCGGTTTGTCAGCTCCATGGACCGAGGCAGTTATGCAGCTGCCTTTCTTGCTTTTGGCAAACTACTCTCCAGAGGCCTTGTCCAGAACTAGAGCAGGAAATGCTTTGGTTGCTTGGCTTGGTGAGCACATGGCCAGCAGGCAGCCACTCGCCTCTCCTTTCTGTGCTGCTGCTGAAGGAATGCTGCATGCTCTCTGGTTTTGGGAAGAACAGATTGTGTCCATTTCTCTCTCTCTCTCTCTCTCTCTCTCTCTCTCTCTCTCACACACACACACACACACACACACACACACATTCTGATTTCTGTGGTGGCCATATCCTGCAGAAGTAAAATAGGCCTGAATGTCTGTGTGGCCAAGCTGCATTCTCCTCATTCTCTAATGATAACCATAAGGTTAAGAAAGCATCTAGCAGCCAATGAGCTCAGAAGGCCATGCCTTTTGTCACCTAGCCTTTTCCTACCTCTATGCAGATAGATATTCCTATGAGAGAAGCCATTTGTTTAGGGACTTTTATGTGCTAGATGTTTCCACATATGATCTCATTAGATCCGCACAACATTCCTGGAAGGCAGATCTCTTTTTCTCCATTTAATAAACAAAGATACTGAGGTTCAAAGAAATTAAATGACTTATCCAAGATCAACAAGCTAATAAGTGTGGTAGGGGTAGGATTGGAACCCATGTTGTAATGATTCCAAAGCCTGTATGTTTTCCATTATTTCTACCATGCTGGAGGAGTGAAAAAGTTGAAAGTTACAGAGTCAGTCAGTGTCACAGGGATTAAATTCAAGGTGTCCTGATTTCCAGGGCAGCCTAGAAATACTTTTTTGGAAGAATTATTTGGGTATATTTAATGTTCCAAGAATTTATGAAACTTAAAAAATATATTGAGGTCATAATGTGAAAGTGATCCAGAACTGGAAAAGCTGCCTATTTACCCACCAGTGTCCCTTGTCTATTCTCGTATAGTCAATGGTCCCTCTCAGGTGTGTGCACCTGAGCAGAGATGTTTCCCTACCCCCTAAAGTCACACATTCACCTGTGGTTCAGACTCCCACTCAAAGCTGTGTTTTAAAATCTCCCCTCCACCTCCTCTTTTCCCTCTGGATTGCAAAGAGTGACCAGGAAGAAAGGATAAGACTGTGACTGCACGCACAACTAGTTTGACTGGATATAAATGATTATTTCTAAAACAAAGTCAATTTTAGTAAAACAATAATGCTTTTCTTTTTTTCTGGTCAACTTGACCCTTAAAAAGGAGGTTTTCTTGAATAGTTCCCTGTTCAACTGGTGCTCTTGGCATCGTGAATAAAGAGAGCTAATGACAACATCCATCAGAGAGTTAAGCACACAGAGTGGGTGATAAAGTCAACAAGAAGCTGAAAACAAGATCTACCACGGATAAGCTGCCAAGAGTTGGCTATAGATTCCAAGTGGCCACTGTGGCTCATCCATCTCCCCTCCTCTGTGTCCCACCCCAACATCATCCCTCATGACAAGGTAGGAAAGCAAGAGAGAAGGGAAGTTCAAGAGTCGAGTACAGACGATAAATACGTAGCATAGCTGATCTGACTAATATAAATGCAGAGTCTCACTGGTAAATTCCGAATGACTTTCCATGAGAGAACAAAGAAGAGCCTTTTATAAGTCAAAACAACCAACCAAATAAAGGTCAGAGTCTAGAAGAGCAAGTAGACACAAGTCATTGCCAGGTTTCCTCCAAGGAAGACTTTTTCTTGTCCTTCCCTCTCTCAAGCCCAGCTAAGGAGATTGTAGAGTCTGTCTATTGTTTAAAGACTTGAAATTGTTTTCCTTGAATTATTCTCAACCCTGTACTTTCCTTGCCTCTCTTTTCAAAAGTAGGTTAGGGATATTCCGGTTCCCCTGAAGCATCTTAATGAGTTAGTCATGATTACAATTGCATCTTTTAAATTGCCCAACCGGTTGAAAGGCTGCCATGAAAGCAGCTTCTACAAACACAAGCTGGGCTGTGTTTTTCATTTTCTGATGTTGCAAAATGTGAATGAGGAGTTACCTCCAAGCGCATAATTAGCATAAAAACTGCTGAAGCTGAGAGGAGAGAGGTAGGCTACTATCCCAATAGGAACTGTTGCTGTTGTTCCTAAAAGGAATGTGTACATTGAGACTAAAATAAAGAGAAGTTTTTTTGCTAACAAATGTGAAAGGGTTTCACACAGTCCATGGCACATAATAAATGCTCAAAATGTGTTCACTAGATAGGAATCTTCTCCATAATCTACTTTTCAAGCAAGGAACCAACCCTGCCTACCTCCATTTCCTCACCATCCCCTCTTTTAATGTTCATCTGGTAACTCAAATTACGGTCTCATAATCTCTCACAGTGTTTCTCCATCTCCCTCCCCCACTCCCACCTCCACCCCCATGTTGCCCTCCTAAGCAGCTTTTTTAGACATTTTTACATTTCTCCCCATGACATTCTAATACCAGATACATTATTATATCAGTGTATGTACTGCATGTATATCTGCACTTTGTGAATGAAAACATTCATTTGTTTTTTATCCCCCAAGAACCATCCTCACTCCTGTTGAGAATGCATGACCTAGCAGACCAGAGTAGACACAACAGAAGCAGATCACAGAACTTAAATGCTAGATGAAATCAATCTGGGAAAACATCCAGGCAGGTGTGGCAGGCATGGGAGTTTGTCTAGATCAGGCTTAGTATGGGTCAAGACAGACAGCTGGCCATAGAGGTTAGCTAACCAGAACATAGGTTGCAGAATGCAGCTGAAGGTAGTTTGGTGGAAGACAGGAGAGCAAAGTTCAAGACAGGCAGAGGCATGGAGAATATTGGTCCACTGGGTCAGAGAACGTCTCATACAGAGAGATCCCAGTGTCCACAAAAGTTCCATGGAAGAGAAATTGCTCTCAGATCTGAAGCCAGATTAACCATTTTACCTTTGATCCTGAGAGCCCCTGAACCACTAGGCTGGCTGTGGCCTGTTAATGAAAATATCTGATTATTTTAGGGAAACACAGCAAGCTGGTCCCTATATGAGAGCTACCCATATCACCCCATACTTCGAACCTTCTATGTCCGATGAAAGAACCAAGCTTTCCAACCTGACTTGGAGCCGCACTGTGGTGTCATGTCCCAGGCATTCAAACAAGGTGATGGAATAAAAAGTCTGGTTTTCCTCTTCCTCAAGTCATTTCTTTTCTGGAGATCCTTCCCCTCCTGACCTAAAAACAGGGTGGACCTAGGGCCCTGACTGAACGCTCTCAGGGCTGTGCTTCCTAAAACCATCAGAATCTCTCAAGGGCCTTTCTTGTTGATGTCCCAGGTCAGCATCTCAGTGGCCTTTGGGGCTGCTGCTCATACTCTCCTCTTTGATTAGAGGTCAGTCACTCTGACTCTGGTCTTCATCATAATCCGCTTCCTCGAGTCTCCTGAAGTTCTCTCTGAGTGTCATGTCCATCTCCTTCTTCCTCCTTACTTTCCTCAAGGGCATCCTTTATCTTTGATTCTTTCCTATGGCCCTCAATGCTCATGCACACACCTGCTCAGTTTAATTTAATAAACAGCGTTGATCACTTGCTGTATGCCCAGCACTGCTATAAACAAGACATGGTCCTTACACACCCTTGAGGGAGAACAGAAATCTACATAACAAAGCAAAACACAGTGTGAGATATGTAACACAGATGTGCACAAAGTATCTTAGTAACCCAAGTGAGGAAGTGATTGATTCTTGAGGAGATCATAAAAGGCATTGCAGAGAAAAAATTCGCATTTGTGCCTTGAAGAAGGAATAGAGATTCATAAAACAGAAAAGTTGGAGGGAGAGCATTACAGAGAGAGAGATGAGGCTGGGGAAGGCAGAGAAAATAAGGGTTAGAAAGTCCATGTGACTTGAGGGATGGTAGGTGTGAGAGTGTGGCTGGAGGGGTAGGGGTGGGAGTGGTCGGAGATGACCCCAGAGAGGCAGGAAACATGAGCTTCAGTCACCATTTAAATCTACATCTCAGTTCATGAAAATGGCTCATCACAGTGCCTGGGGCAGATCCATTTTCTAAAAATAAATTTGCTCATATGTACTATATGTCATGTACTGTACTAGGTACAAGTGACACAAAGAGAAGCTGCCCCCTCAAGAGCTCAAAGTATAGTTAGGGAGATAGACATGTTTAAAAATTTAATGTATGCAACACAAGCTAATCCATGCAGTGATGGTAGCACATACATGACACAAAATAGAGAGCAACTGGCTCTGCATGGAAGGACTAACAGAGGACGCTTTAGAGTCCTGGCTGGGTAGCTCCATTGGCTAGACCATCCTCCTGATATGCTAGGTTTTCGAGTTCCATGCCTGGTGAGGGCACATACAAGAATCAACCAAAGAATGCACAAATAAGTGGAACCACAAATTGATGTTTCTGCCTCCCCCCCCCTCAAATCAATTTTTTAAAAATATCTTTATTGATTTCAGAGAGGAAGGGGGAGGTGGAGAGAGATAGAAATATCAATGATGAGAGAGATGCATTGATCAACTGCCTCCTGCACAATTGGGGATCGAGCCCGCAACCCGGGCATGTGCCCTGACAGGGAATCGAAATGTGACTTCCTGGTTCATAGATCAATGCTCAACCACTGAGCCACCGCATCTGGGTTCAAATCAATCTTAAAAAACAACACAGAGGATGCTTCAGAGAAAAATGCTATCTGAGCTGAGCTTTAAAAGACCAATGGGCATTGGATGGTGTGGCAGGCAGAATAATGGCTCCCCAAAGATGTCCAAGTCTTAAACCTGTGACTGTTACCTTACATGGCATTGAGGACTTTGCAGATGTGACTACATTCAGGGAAGATGAAAAGATTATAGATCACCCAGGTGAGTCCAATGTATTCACAAGGATGCTTGCATGAAAGGGAGGCAGAGTGTCAGAGCCAGAGGAGATGTGACGATGGAAGCAGAGATGGGAATGATGTGGCCAACAGACAAAACACGTGGGTAACCTCTAGAAACTGGAAAAAGCCAAGAACGCATTCTCTCCCAGAGCCTCCTGCAGTTATGCAGCTCTGCGAAAAACTTGGTTTTAGCCCATGAGACTCATTTCAGACTTCTGATTTCCAAAAAAGTAAGGTGATACATTTGTGTCATTTTTAAGCCATTAAGTTAGTGATCATTTGTTGCAGCAGCAATAAGACATGAATGTGGATGGAGCAGTAAGCAGGGTGTGGGGGTGGAGGGCAGTGCAGGCAAAAGGAATAGCAGAAGCACAGAAACATAAACTAGTATGGCACACCCTTGGGTCAGGGGGTACAGTTAGCCTCATGATGCTGAGGTTCAAGGATCACCAGGTAGGAGGGAGTGGAGAAAAGGCTGGGTGTGAGGCAAGGACCAGATGATACAGGGCCTTGTAAGGGGCTGTGCTATGGTGGAGTTTAGGTGTTGCTTAAGGCAAATTGGGAGCCATTTCCTGCTTTTAAACAACAGAGTAAAAATAACAGATTTTCAATTTTGAAAGAAAGGCTGACAGGGAAAAGTCTGTCTGGGAGATTGTTTAGGAAGCTATTGTGAAAGTCCTGGGGCAGGAGCTACAGCTTGAACTAACTGCCATGTGAGTAGAAGGAGAAGTCAGAATAAAGACTTACTTGACAGAATACTGGGGGCAAAGGCAATGGGAAGAGACAGGGATGACCCCTGGTTTCTGAATTGGACCTTAATGAATAGCCATGCTGCCTACTCAGATGGAGAAAGAAAACTAGAGATTTCTCTCAATGCTTCTTAGACTTATATTTTATTTTAGTGTCACCCAACAACCTATATTTGGACTGTCTATATTCTCCTAGCTGTTTTTCCTAATGCTCGCCTTTCCCCTACTCAATGAATTCTCTATGTTGTAGTTACAACAATTAATTCAATATTCAACAGATACTTATTGAGTGTCTACCATGTACCAGGTACTGTTACAGACCTGGGGAATATTATAATGAACAAAATAATTTTTAAACAAACTAGCTTGCATTTAATCTAGAAAGGTCTTTTCAGAAGGTAATTGTGGACATTTCCAGCACCAATTCACATCTTCCACAATGATCTCCAATTTCCTCTCATTTAACGTTTTCATTTTTTGGTGTGTGCTCAAGTTCTCTGTCAACTCCCTATAACTCTCCCAAACTAACTATAAGGAGTTTCATTTGCAAATCGGTTGTGATCTAAGAGCTGTGCTTCTTCAACTATCTGTAGGTTTGTTGTTGTTTGTTTTTTAAAAATTCCAAGCTATTGTTGTCTGACACCTGGTCCTCTTGCACATGACTAATGCCCAAGCCATGACCCCTATGAATCACTGTGCAAATTTCACAACACTCAAACTCACCCACAGCCTGCTCAATGGTGAGTCCACTGACGAAGTGCCTGTATGTCACGGCATTCTTAATTTGCTCTGACAAATTTTAAGTGCTTACTCTCAATGTCTGTACTCTCAATTTCAACACTGTCCACAGACCGCACTTTGAGTCCCCATACTTACCAAGTTCCTTACTAAAACAGTTGTGAAGAATTTGGAAAAAATTATATGGTGGTGGCATTTTTTGCTAGCCCACAGAAGCCTATATTGGCCATACTAGCTTATAGTTTTCCTATAAATAGACCCTAGATTATGTGGAGGCAGGAGGATAAAAGTTCTAGAACTGCTGTTTGGCACATCACCTTTTTAAAGGAGCAAATGCTTCTTATTTCCCCTTCCTTTTTATGTTCTTACTTCTTTAGTCAGCTACCTCCTTAATCCAACCCCTCACACAAATGAAAAATAAAATTAACGTGAAAGCCTCTCAATTCTTTATCAATTCTTGCCAGAGATGGTCCAACCACCTCAATAGATGAAGGCATTTTAGCATAACTCATAGTTTAATTCAACCTCAGGCTTATGAACTGGGTGGGACTAGGAAATCGGAGCCTTTTGTCTGGGATTCACTGGTTCAACTCTGGGCTGGCTTTTGCTGGACGTCCTCCAGCCCCCAATGAGCATGTTTGCAGCCTTCTATTACAGCTCTTCTAGGACCTTTGTTCAGTCCTCATCCTCCTTATCCTTTCTTTGATTTGAACACCACTAACTCTTTCTTCCCTGTGGAATAAACTCTCTTGTTCTGTGGCTTCCATGACTCCACATTGGATTTATTCTTCTTCGTCATCTACTTCAATTTGGTCTTTGCTGTCTCACTCTCCTCTCTCTTCTCCTTTGCCAAGGGCCTCATCCTAGAGCTTCTTCTCTCACTCGCATGATCTTCAGGTGCTCTCACCCTCTCTGAGGAATTCCGTTATCATCTAGGTACTCATGACCTATATTCTTTCCTGAGTAGGAAACACATAATTCCAACTGTTTTCTCAACCTCTTCATGTGTGTACCTTACAAACATCACATTTCAATTTAATGTCACTTCTCAAAAACCTCTTCTTACTGCATTTCATATCAGGACACTGCCATCCACTTAAACATTCAGGATAAATGCTCCTCTCTTTTCCTCATTCCTCCCCTTCAAGCAGTCACCACTCACCAATCCACCACTGCTGTGTTTCTCCAATCATTCTCTTTTTCTCCATCTCCACTACCTTGCTCTGGCTCCCATCACTTTCTTACTGGAACCATTCTCAGTTCTCTCAACCCTCAGATCACCAATGTCACACTGGACTCCGAGCTATCAGTCCCAACCCTCTCCAGAGCAGCCTTTACTCAGCTGTCCTTTTGCATTGTCCTTTCTCTCAACAGGCACATCCAATAATTCACACTCTTGAATACTGACCTTCACAACTCTTTTACTAGGTCCTATAATATGATCAAAACTCTTTTCTTAGCATGGGTTACCAGGACTTTCACACACAGGCCTTGACTAGCTTCTGTAGACACTTCTACTTTAACAACAAAATCACCATATCCCATAGTCCATCCTCACAGGCTTCCTTAACATTTCTCAAACATGCCACCATGTTCAGCATCTCTCAGGCCTCTGCACCTTTGAGCATTCTATTCTTGCCAACCCCTGCCCTCTGTCTTTATGCCCTACAGATCATGTACCTTCTGGGGCAGCTCCTCCAAGTGCAGGTCAGGGCTCCTTCCATTGCATTTCCAGAGCCCTTTGTATATGGGCAGTTCAGTCAGTGGAGTGTTTATGAGCCAGATGCTGAGCTACGTTCTAGGGGTACAAAGAAGACGGTCCTGCCACAAAGGAGCTTACTTTCAACTAGCAGAGAAAGACATAAGTGTAAATAGCATATACATTTGTGTATTTTTTTTTAAAAAAAATCAATGTTACAAAGCACAATAGGTGCTATAGAAGTGTGAGCAGGACACAGTGGACAATAAGCAATGCAGGGAGCAGTTCATTCTACCTGTGAGAAGAAATTGGAGGAGAGGAACCTAAGGAAATGTATCATGAAGGAGCTAACCCCTCGGGAGGGGAACGAGGAGAGGACATCCCAGCAAAGTCCTGGCACGATGGAACAGCACGTCATGTGTAGGGAAAAGCAATTGGTTCTCTACGGCCCATCTTCGACATTAACATTGATGCAGTTAGACAAGAGGTCAGAGAACAAGGAGGAGGATTTACCTGGCAGGCAATGAGGGGCCACTGCAGGGACAGACGAAATGTTCCAATTTCTATTTTTAGGGAGATCTTTCTAACAACAGTATACTGAGCACAGTTATAATGCTTTGGGAGGGGGAGTTATATATCCACTCTCCCTATTAGATTTTGAGCTCCCTGATGTCAAGTTTTATGTCTCTTTCATTTTTACCTTCTCATGCCTAACACACTCATTGACCAAGCAATGAGAGAAGCTACCCGACGTCAGTGCTGGAGTGTGGATTGAGAGTCGGGGAGGCGAGCTCGAGGCCAGCTCCCATCTCAGCTTGGGGAGACATCAGCAAGTCACTCTGGGCTTTGGTCTCTTCAGCTATAAAATGGTGGCTTATTTAAGACCATCTGTCAGTTCTCTTTTGCTCTAACAT